TTTTTTTTTTTTTTTTTTTTTTTTTTATCACCCGCGTCTTCCTATCCACTCGATTCCCTCTTATCACCCAGCTCGGTCAACTCCGGTCCAACCCGTTTACGGTCACCTAATAACGCATTCGGATCGACCTTATCAATCTCTGCGTGCGCGGCTCCTTTGTGCTACACGCGCGTCCCTCTCGAGACGGCCCGTAGGAATCGCCAGAGTGCCAGAGAGTATACCCTGGGGCGGCGGGGGGTCGATACCGTCGAGGATCCTTCAAGATGATGACCCTACTGACGATCCATACTCTCGCTCTTAGACCCGGAGTACCGGAAACAGAGAACCAGCTATGGACCAAACTAAAGCACAGATCTGTATAGTACGGCACAGGGCGCTAATGGGTATCGGTTGCTACTGGCAGACGAAGAGGGGCAAACGAGTCTGTTTTGGAAATTAAGAAATGAGTAAAAACCTAGTAAAGGTGTAACGAAAAAAAAAAAAGAAAAAAAGAAAAAAAAAACCCAATCCTTTCCTCGCTCCACGTAATTCGGGGTAAACAAGCGTCGAAGTGGCTGATACAAATTTCGTGAGGCTAAAGTAATATTTGTATCGACGGCCGCACAAACAGCGGACTCCACCTTTCCTCGTGACATCAGCCAAGAACGTCACCGTCAGCCAATGACGAGTCCCCGTCCGCCGGGTTATTCGCGAAATTAAAAAAGAACGCAAGTGACCCGTCCCCGTGCCTTCCTCTCGGTACGGAGAAAAAAAATTTCCGAAAGGGTTAGAAATGGGTAATCCCTTAAAACGGAAACGACAAAAGGTCACGACCTCGTCATTATCATTATTTCCGACCACCGGTGAAAACTTTTCCACGTGAATCCATCGGGTGTACACGAATACCGAGAACTCGTAGTTCCGCGACGAGCAAACGAATTACGACTAGGGAACTTCTGACGGTGGTTTCAAGCATGCACGTAGATAAGGCTTGTTTTCACGTAGATAACGGCGGCTCCGTTAATTAGTAAAATCGGTCGTCCATGTTCGATCCTCTTTTAAAGCCTGAAACTTTTCCGATTAGGAGGAACAGGGGCGTTACGGGAGTGCCAGGGTGCGTCGTTGAACCTGAATTTAAAAAAAAAAAAAAAAAAAAAAATATCCCACAAGAATCATAGAAATAAATGAACCATCGAAATACGATTTTTCAAAATTTCCAACCCTTTGTATTTTTATTCGGATACACCCTCTCTTACGTATCGTTAAGCTACCGTGGGGGCCACCGAGGCTAAAGTCCTTGGATCGCGTAGACGCTTCCGGTAAAGAAGCGTCGCGACGCCTGGTCAGGTGGCCCCGCTAACCCAGAACGTAAATGCCGTCCGTGATAAATGCGTCTGCCGAGCATCAATAATGTAGAAGGGTCGTGACACGGCCTTGCCGACAGATATCGACCCGCCTGCGAATATCGATTCCCTTACATGAGAACGCGCCCGGCGACCGTCAAGTCATTTTTGCGACAACAGCCAGGCGCTCGGACCGTCGCGATGAAACCGTCGCCGTCGATCTGGGTCACGAGGCTTTAAGGACTCGACCAACCTCTGTGCCCACGAGTCGTCACAGTCAACGAGACCGAATCGTCATCGGGTAGGTGACGAACCGGTAGAGCCGGTTCGCCGATTACAAATTTCGAAAATCGTCGAAAAAGTCGAATCTGACCTCGACCCGGCCGCCAATCGAAAGAACCGGCCCTTGAACTAACGAATCCACCTGTCGCTCATTGAGAACACGAAAAAACACCGAGCGAGCGTTTACATTGGGGCGAGTGCGTAATACGCGGCACTATCGATTTCGCATTGCGTGCGAGTTTATCTGGTATCAGGGGGGGGACGACCCTCTCAATTTTCCCGGAACCGCGACGTATGCGCATTAACCATCTGCGCCTTTGGGGTCTCGGCCAGGAAAAGTTTCGACCCTTGGTATAAATTACCCCCACTGTCCCTCCTCCC